ATAATGCTTAAGGGAATCATACATCAACAAGACATAAGAATCATAAATATCTATACCCCAAACAATGGAGAATCCAGGTATATCAAACAAGCCCTTCTCAATTTCAAGAATCATTTGACCATTTGGACACAACACATTAACACTGGGTGACTTTAATACACTTGTCTCACCACTGAACAGATCTTCCAAACAAAAACTAAACAAAGAAACCATATAACTCAATAATACAACCAATAACTTAACAGACATATACAGAATATTTTATCCATTAACAAGTGAATACACCTATTTCTCAGCAGCACATGGATCTTTCTCTAAAATAGACTATGCCACAAAGCAAGTCTTAGCAAATATAAAAAAATAGAGATACACTACCTTGCATTCTTTCTGGCCATAATGGAATGAAATTAGAAATTAATGATAAAATAAAAAATAGAAGCTACTCCAACACCTGGATACTCAACAAAACAGTGAATAATGCATGGATAACAGAATACATCAGGGAGGAGATAAAAAAATTCTTAGAGGTAAATTAGAACTCTGATACAACATATCAAAATCTCTGGGACACTATGAAGACTATGTTAAGAGAGGAAAGTTCATTGCATTGAGCTTGATAATTAAAAGAATAAAAAGTCAACAAATAAATGACTTGACATTACATCTCAAAGCTCTAGAACAAACCAACACCAAAAGTAGTAGAAGACAGGAAATAATTAAAATCAGGGCTGAAATCAATAAAATTGAAACAAAAGAAACAATAAAAAAATTGACAAAACAAAAAGCTGGTTCTTTGAATAAAATTGACAAACCCTTAACCACCCTAATGAAAAGAAGGAGAGAGAAAACTCAAAATTCATGATGAAAAAGAAATAACAGACACTATTGAAATACAGAAGATAATTAGAAACTATTTTGAAAATTTATGCTCCAATAAAATAGAAAATTCTGAAGACACAGTCAAATTTCCAGAGGCATATGATCTACCTAAACTGAATCAGGAGAACATACACAATTTAAACAGATTAATTTCAAGCAAGGAAATAGAAGACACTGTCAAAAACTTACCAACCAAGAAAAGCCTGGGACCAGATGTATTCTCAGCTGAGTTCTATAAGTCCTTTAAAGAAGAATTAATACCAACACTCCTCAAATTATTTCATGAATCAGGGTGAATATAGCCTCCAAAACCAGACAGATATATCAAAGAAAGAAAACTTCAGATCAAATGGGATGCAAGGTTGGGTCAACATATGGAAAGCAATAAATGTAATTCATCACATCAATAGACTTGAAGATAAGAATCATATGATTATGTCAATAAATGCTAAGAAAGCATTTGATTAAATACAGCACCTCTTCATGTTCAAAACACTAGAAAAACTAGAGATAGTAGAAACATACCCAAACATTGTAAAAGCTATCTCTAGTTCTACTATCTCTATGATAAGCCCAAGGTCAATATTATTCTAAATGGAGAAAAATTAAAAGCATTCCCTCTAAAAACTAGAACAAGACAGGGGATGCCCTCTTTCACCACTTCTATTCAACATAGTCCTCAAAACTCTAGCCAGAGCAAACAGACAGACAAAAGAAATTAAAGGAATATGCATAGGAAGAGGAGAACTCAAACTATCATTATTTGCTGATGACATGATTCTATATTTAGAAGATCCAAAAAATTCCACCAGAAAATTTCTAGAACTCATAAATGAACATAGCAAAGTAGCAGGATATAAAATTAATACCCATAAACCAAATGCATTTCTATACATAAGCAATGAATCCACTGTAAGAGAAATTAGAAAAAACACCCATTCACAATAGCCTCAAAAAATAAATAAAATACTTGGGAATCAATCTAACAAAAGAGGTGAAAACTACAGAACACTAAATAAAGAAATTAAAGAAGACCTCAGAAAATGGAAAGATCTCCCATGCTTGGATAGGCAGAATTAATATAGTCAAAATGGCCATACTACCAAAACTGTTCTATGGATTTAATTCAATTCCTATAAAAATCCCAATGACATTCTTCATAGAGCTAGAAAAAACAATCATGAAATTCATTTGGAAAAATGAGAGACCCAGAATAGCCAAGGCAGTCCTTAGCAAGAAGAGTAAAGCAGGAGGCATCACTATACTAGACCTTAAACTATATTACAAAGCAATAGTAACAAAAATGGCATGGTATTGGTACCAAAATAGACATGTAGACCAATGGTACAGAATAAAAGACACAGAGACAAACCCACATAAATATGGTTATCTCATACTAGACAAAGGTGCCAAAAACATACATTAGAGAATATATAGCCTCTTCAATAAATGCTTCTGGAAAAACTGGAAATCCATATGTAGAATGAAATTGAACATCTATCTCTCATCCTGAACAAAAATCAACTCAAAGTGGATCAAAGACTTAGACATTAGAACAGAGACCCTGAACCTAATAGAAGAAAAAGTAGGCCCAAATCTTCATCATACTGGCTTAGGACCTGACTTCCTGAACAAGATTCCTAAAACACAAGAAATAAAATCAAGAATCAACAAATGGGATGGATTCAAACTAAAAAGCTTCTTCTCAACAAAGGAAATAATCAATAACATGGTGAGAGAGCCTACAGAATAGGAAAAAATCTTTACCATACACACCTCAGACAGAGTACTAATCTCCAGGATCTATAAAGAACTAAAAAAACTTAACATTAAAAACACACACACACACAAAAAAAAAACAAACAAAAAAAACAACCAATCAATAAATGGGCTAAGGAACTGAACAGATACTTTGCAGAACAAGAAATATACCGATCCACAAACATGAAAAAATGTTCATTATCTTTCGTAATTTGAGAAATGCAAATCAAAACTACTCTAAGATTTCATCTCACTCCAGTCAGAATGGCAATTATCAAGAATACAAGTAATAATAAGTTTTGGTAAGGATGTGGGGAAAAGGTACACTCAAACATTGCTGGTGGGGCTGCAACTTGGTGTAACCACTCTGGAAAGCAGTATGGAGATACCTCAAAAATGGATCCACCATTTGACCCAGCTGTCCCACTCCTAGGTTTATACCCAAAGGACTTAAAATCAGCATACTGCAGTGACGCAGCCATATCAGTGTTTATAGCAGCTCAATTCACAATAGCTAAACTATGGAAACAACCTAGATGCCCTTCAACAGAGGTATGGGTAAAGAAAATGTGGTACCTATACATAACAAAATATTACTCAGCTTCAAAGAAGAATGAAATTATGGCCTGTGCAGGTAAATGAATGGAACTAGAGAATATCATGCTATGTGAAGTAAGCCAATCCCCCAAAACCAAAAGCCAAATGTTTTCTCTGATAAACAGATGCTGATCCATAGTGGGGCAGGGGAATAGGGAAGAATGAAGGAATTTTGGTTTGTGTAGAGAGGAGTCAGTGGAGGGGTGGGGTTGTGAGGATGGGAAGGACAGTAGAAAGAGACATTATTACCCTATTTACATGTATGATTACATTAGTGGAGTGACTCTGAACCATGTACAACTAGAGGAATGAGAAGTTGTGCTCCATTTATGTACAATATGTCAAAATGCATCCTACTGTAAAATTAATTAATTAATTTTTTT